GAGACAGTGAGGTGATATGAGTTGATGGGTGAGACAGTGAGGTGATATGAGTTGATGGGTGAGACAGTGAGGTGATATGAGTTGATGGGTGAGACAGTGAGGTGATATGAGTTGATGGGTGAGACAGTGAGGTGATATGAGTTGATGGGTGAGACAGTGAGATGATATGAGTTGATGGGTGAGGCAGTGAGGTGCTATGAGTTGATGGGTGAGACAGTGAGGTCTGGTGGGCAGATCTTACCTGGAGAACACATCTGCACTGAGAACACAGCCTATGATATTGCCCAGGTGGGGGACATTGTTGACGTACGGTAGCGCAGACACCACAAGAATATTCCTTTCATCATCAAGAGGCAATCTATGGGAAAAAGAAAACACCTTATACTATAAGTGTTGTTTAGTACCTCTTATTAAATGCCATGCATTCAGCGATTACTAATGAGAAATTTAGAACACCTTTATTTTAGAACACTCTTGTGTCAACATATAACAGTAATATATGCAGTGTATCTACTGGATCATGTGCAGTAATGCTTCTTGATATCTACAGAAATTAGCAGCTTAAATTAGAATAGAATATCAGGGGTAGAAATTAACGTTTGAACACGGGAGTCCAACAGACTCCCTACCCTGAAAAAGAGGGAGTCCGCGACAAAATGAGGGAGTCCGCAGTCTGAGGTTCAAAATTAAAGATATTAACAATAACGCATGTGCTTATTTTTAAGATTCATGCAGTAGCACATCTGCCAAATTTTCTTTAGACATTAGCTGAAAAAATACGGTAATTCCGCGAGGCCGTGCTCTGGAACGAACTAGTTAGTGTAGCAGAATTTTCAGGGAGTCACATGGACTCCTGCATATGTCAAATCAGGGAGACCGACAATAAATCAGGGAGTATTTGACTCCGGACTCTCGTTAATTTCGCACCCTGGAATATCACACTTGAGCTTTGGTATATGTATGCATAATCTCTCTAATTATCTATATGTGTAAACTTGCATGGGGTGTTTTCTTTCTCTGCATGAAGGTAGTGTTCCGTTCCAGAAGAAGTCACCTGCAGCTGCTGCCTCCTCCTGGGTCACAACCTTATCACCCGCGCCTACCTGTAATCACAGGAATCTATATAGTACATATATATATAATTATATATACCTCACCTAGATAGCCCCCAGGCAGTGCCACTAATAAGGCTGCAAAGTTGACAAGTTGGCATCCACATATGAAGCATAACAAATTGGGTGGACTCAAGATGAGCCGGTAACTCATTAAACACGTATTACATATAACTGTATATATAACGGTTTCTAGAATAACGCAATCTTAGGCTTATCATTCTTGCCTCCGGAGTTGGAGAGTTTTGTGAGTCTGCCATCTTTCCCGTCATCAATCTTGAGCTTATTCTGAAAACAAGTAAATACGAGCGTGAAATTTACAAATATACGCACCATCTCAATGAAAATTTTTAGGGTGTACGTAGCCAGACTAGAGCCCTAGCTACAAGTACAGGTGTAACAACCCCTTCGCTCCCGAGTCCCGCTACAGCGAGAACTACGGTTCATGGATATAAGCGCTAACCACAATCCATTTTCACAATATGCGATATGTGCAAATATGCAAATGTGGACAGCTCTTACATCCTTGAGCCAGAACTACTCTCCTGGTACTAACTATATGTTGTGTGTATAGGCCTTGTTACTATAGTATAGTATGGTTAGTAGTATATAAGTATTAGTAGTATATGTAGTATGTAGTATAGTAGTTAGTCAGTAGTGTAGAGTGTGAGTGGTTATGTGTGATAGTAGTGTGTTAGGGAGTAGTAGTAGAGTGAATAGTGGAGGAGTGTTAGACTTACTAGTAGTGAGGTAACGGTAGCGCTCATATGTAGGGGCGATGTCCCCCAGGCGACTGCCGGAATTGACCCGTGTGTGCGTTCACAGGTGATTAGGGGGAGGCGGAGGGTTGGGGTGGGCGCGGGCCCGAGCGTGGCAACCGGCGCGGCGCGCCCCGTGTGGAAAACTCCCCACGGGTCCAAAGCGGTGCGCGCAGCTTTGAATAGGATATGCGATACCCCGTATAACAGCACGCATATGTATTATCCATTAAATGTATTCGGGGTATAGATCATGTCAGATGAAAGCTGATCGAGAAGCACCGTCCGCAGTAAGGAGTAGAGGAGTTTAAGGAGTAAAGATAAGAGTAAAGGAGTTAAGAGAGAAAGGAGAAAGGGAGCAAAGGAGAAAGGGAGAAAGGAGAAAGGAGAAAGGAGAAAGCGAGAAAGGAGAAAGGAGAAAGGAGAAAGCGAGAAAAGAAAGCGGAGGAAAGGGAGGAAAGGCAGAAAGGAGAAGGGGAGAAAGGAGAAAGGAGAAAGGAGAAAGGAGAAAGGAGAAGGAGAAAGAGAAAGAGAAGGAGAAAGGAGAAAGGAGAAAGGAGAAAGGGAGAAGAGGAGAAAGGCACCGAAAGGAGAAAGGAGAAAGGAGAAAGGGAAAAGGAGAAAGGAGAACCAGGAGAAAGGAGAAAGATGAAGGTAGAAAGGAGAAAAGGAGAAAGATGGAGAAAGGCCAGAACAGGAGTAGAGGACAAGTAAGCGAGTAAGGAGTAAGAGTAAGGTAGTAAGAGCTAGGGCAGTTAAGGTGAGTAAGGGAGCTAAGGAAGTAAGGTGGGTAAGGGGACGCTAAGGAGTAAGGAGTAAGGTGAGTACAGGAGTAAGGAGTTAAGGCGTAAGGAGTAAGAGTAAGGAGTATAGGAGTAAGGCAGAAAGGATGAAGAAGGAGAAAGGAGTAATTGGAGAAAGGAGTAAGGAGTAAGCGGAGCAAGGCAGGGAGGAGGAGGAGGAGAAAGCTGAAGCAGTGGCAGAGATGCAGAGTGAAGGGGGCCGAGACCCCCTGGACCCCTCCCCCTCTACGACCGCCCCTGCCAGCTAATCTGGATATGCATTTTAGCGTGTGCCCAGTCTCAAATTGATCAGAGTTAGCTGAAAAACTTTCAAAGTGGCGGCCACGGAGAAGGAGTCTTCTTTTGGGCTAATCCACACGGGGCGGGTACTTTTTGCCTACAGGCCACTTCCCCCCCTCTTCAGAGCGGGGGGATGCATCCCCCATCCCCCCTGGCGATTATCGCCCATGGTCTATACTATATGTTCTTTCTTTATTTCTGAGCGCTCTTAATTCGATAGATCGGGCATGCTTTTTATCTGGCTATTGTCTAGTAGGACAATTATCAACAACAACACAAGTTTGTTCCTTTCAATCGCTAACACAAAGATTATCGATAGATATCTAAACCAGAGAAATAGCAAATTCAGGGCAAACACCAATGTAAACATACGCTGAGCGGTGCGACCGGAAGTAACTCGTGCCAGATGCTCCCGGCATGCCAACTGCCTACCCCAACTTTTTCAAACATGGCTCGGAGTTGGCTATCTTTCTTTTTCTATATCTATGGTGCTACTGACTATGCAGTACTAAACACGCATGCGCGTGACGTCATCCGAGTAGGACGTCATACGAGCGGGGACTTCTCCACTCGCGTCAAAATGGTCATGCTTGCAACACACACACAGCGCGGGAAAAACACTACACAGAAAGCGTAAAATTTTGACGTGTAAGTAACAGTAACATATTTAGTTACCAGGTGACAGCACCTGAATATACCACCATACGATAAATTGCCATCTTTACGAGTGGGGACATCCCCGGTTGTCATGTGTACCCAGTTCGTGAGTTAAAAACTTGAAAATGTCCCCAGTTGTCGGTGATTACAAACACACACACACAAGACACACCCACCGCACATACACACACCACACACACGACGACACACACCACACACACACACACACGCACACACACACACACAGCACACACAGCACACACACAACACCACACACTGTCACACACACACACTGTCACACGCGCGCGCGCGCATGCAGCCACACGCACTCATGCAGACATGCACACGCGTGCAATTCGTACGGCATCAATGTCAACACTTTTAATTCCCAACATGTCACCCCGTCACATGCCGCAGCTTGATATTTAGGATATTGCGATCCGCGGTTAACAGCACTGCAGATATGTATTATCCATTTAAATGTATTCGGGGATAGATCATTCAATGAAAGCTGGATCGAGAAGCACCGTCCGAGTAAGGAGTAAGGAGTAAGGAGAAAGGAGAAAGGAGAAAGGAGAAAGGAGAAGGGCAGAAGGAGAAGGAGAAAGGAGAAAGGAGAAACGAGTAAGCGAGCTTAAGGAGTAAGGAGTAAGGAGGTAAGGAGTAAGGAGTTAAGGGGAGCTAGAGGAGTAAAGGAGTAAGGAGAAAGCGAGAAAGGAGAAAGGAGAAAGGAGAAATTGGAGAAAGGAGTAAGGAGTAAGGAGCAAGGAGAAAGGTAGAAAGCGAGAAAGGAGTAGCAAGTAAGGAGTAAGGAGTGAAGGAGTACAGGAGATAAGGACGAACAGGAGGGAATGACAGGGAGAAGGATGAAGGAGTAACTTGGAGAAAGGCAGTCAAGGAGTAAGGAGCCAGCAGGGATGGAGGAGGAGGATGACCGTGCTAGCCCCTTGCGCTCTTAGCCGGGCTGAAGAGTGCAGAGTGCAGAGTGAATGGGGCCGGCACCCCTGGCACCCCTCCCCCTCTACACGCCCCTGACCAGTAATTGAAATTGATTTAGGTTCTGCCATGTCTCCAAATTATCAGGTTAGCTGAACTATTCAAGGTGGCGGCACGGAAGAAGGCACGGTGAGTGTGTTTTTTTTTTTTGAATTGGTCTCATGGGTGGGGCGGCGTTTATGGTTACAGGCCATCTCCCCCCCTGCCTGCAGAGAGCGGGGGGGATGATCCCCCATCCCCCCGGGAATTTACGCCCATGGTCTATTACTATATGTTCTTTTCTTTATTTCTGAGGCGTCTTAATTCGATAGAATCTCATCTTTTTGTATCTGCTATTGCTATAGTACTCTGAGTGTTTAACCAGACAAATCACAATTTGTTCCTCGAATCGCTAACACCAAAGATATCGATTGGATATCTTAAACAGAAGGAATAGGCAAATAGCAAATTCACCACATGTAACATCGCTGAGCGTGCGACGAAAGTAAAACTCGCTGCCATGAGCTCCCGGCATGCATACTGCTGTTTACCCCAACTTTTTTCAAACTATGGCTCGGTTAGTTGCTTATTTTCGTGGTCTTGTTTCTTATCTATAGGTGCTACGGATTCTGATCCTTTAGTACTAACACGTCATGCGCGTGGACGTATCGAGTTTAGGACGCTCATGACGAGCTGGGTACTTCTCACTCGCGTCAAAATGGTCAGTGCTTGCAACAGTCACACACAGCGCGGAAAACACTATTCACGAAAGCGTAAAATTTGTTGACGTGGTAAGTAACTAGTAACACTATTTATGTTTACAGTTGTTTTTGACAGCACCTGAATATACCACCATACGATAAGTATTTGCCATCTTTACGAGTGAGTGATCTGTCCCCTTCGGGTTTAGTCATGTGTAACCCTTAGTCTTCGTAGTTAAAACAATCTTGGAAAAATATTGTCACTCTCATTGGTGTCTTTGGTGATTACAAACTAGGGCACACACCATGATCACACCACCCACATCACATCACACCACACCACTCTCACACACACACACACACACACACATCACATTTCACCCACACACACACACACACACATCCTGTCTTTTTTCCTGACTTAGTGGTTTGTGTGTGTCTTGCGGTGTCCTTGTTGTGTGTGTGTGTAGGTGTTGTGTTGTGTCGTGTGTGGTGTGGGTGTAGTGTCGGGAATGTGTTGATTTGGGGTGGCTTACATCCGGGACTGTGTGTGTGTGCTGTGTGTTGTGTGTGTCGTGCGTCTGTCACCACACACACACACTGTCACACACGCAGACGCAGCAGCATCAGCGGGAGCCACACGCACTGAGTGGGGAGACAATGGTCACACGCGGTGTGTGCGAAAGCTGCCGTAGCCCCGCGCATCACTAATAGTCGAGACACTATATGCCCAAACATGTTGCACGCCCGTCACATGACGCAGCTATTGAATGTACGGATATGCGGATCCGGTATAACAGCACTGGGCCAACTATGTATTACTCCCATGGAAATGTATTCGGGCTATAAGATCATTTGTCAAGGTGTGAAAGAGCTGGTGAACGCTAACTGTCCTCGGCAATGCATCCTTCCGCAGGCCCGCCTAGACGAGTGATTGACACTTTGTGTCTTGCAAAATGACCCACAGTCTGTCGCCGCCCCTTCTACAGCTAAACATTTTCTCGTTAGCCCCAAAGATTACTATCTTACGGCACGGAATCGCCCGATTCTACGAACGTGAGGGAATTCTGCTCCGGGCTAAGAACCGGTTTCCTACGATAGAGCTTTGGCACCAAAACGGAAAATAACACGCTGTTTTGCCGCACATCAAGTTCTTTTCTTTCATTTTCGCATCTCCGTAACCACAAATACAGCTCCGCCTTCTTCGTTGCATGTGCATGAATGGGGCGTGCGACGACGTGAGCTGAAATCTCCTTGTTGAGCCTACTGCACCGAAGACTCGTTGACTTTTTGGTTACAAAAAGGTGAAATGCCCGGCCGATGCATTTTCGCTATACGAAGAAGATGAGAGCAGATTTCGATTTTCACTCGGCTGGTCGCAGTCAACGAGCGCGTCACGTGCATGATAACAGTAGAACATTTTCAGCAAAAAATCTTCTTGGCATTTCGGGTAGCCAATTGTTTACAATGTCTTACAGCCAGGCATCTCTTGGCGTCAAATCAGTGATGGGGTTGTGATAGTCCTGCAACATGTTTATACTTTTTTTCCGTAGTTAGAGTTTTGGGAGTCCATGTTTCACTGACTTATTTAGGAAGAAGTATAAATAATTGGTGTGAGTTGGCGGCAGTAATGTGGCGACTGCGTCTTTATACACCTCCCTCCCCCTTATAGTATGATTTCCACAACTTTGCCTTTCTTTTTGCCCAAGATATTAGTTTCATTTCATAATAATTTAATAATATCTATATATTATTTTCATGTTCGGACTGCGGGTATCATATTGACGTTATAACCTTTCCTGAGTATTAATCAAATCTGCCCATGGAGGTATTGATGGGATGTTTGGCGTGGTGGTTTTTTTATTACTCGTTGGCCTATTAATCACCTCGATTGCCTTGTCTTTGTTTGGGGGCGCAGATTTTATTATGAACATAGATTATAAGTTGTTTTTGTTCGATCTATGTAAAATTCTTTAATCTTTTTTGATTAAGCTATTGGGGGGGCTCGATGAACCGACCGCGGCTCTCCGGGAGCATAGGTGTAGTCAAGTCCGTAGCGCAACGAGTAGGCCACCTGTAGTGTGTAAGCCGAGTAGAATGAACTTGTGGCTAGTCCTCGCACCGCATCGCACCCCTGAGCGACTTTTTTAATAGTGTTATGATCCCCTATAATCTCGTAACTCTTCTGGAATATCGGCTCCATATAACTCCATTGTCAGCTTCTCCAACTCCACGCACTCATCCGGGGCTGGACCTCACTGTTTTGACCCAGAACGTGCCGCCGGGGCCATCTGTGATATTTGGTTTGACGTCTCCACTGCGTGCGGGATAGCCGCGGTTCATACGTTGAATATCAACGCGTCGTCGCGTGCGCATATCCGCGCGTACATATAAGAAGAAAGGAGAAAAAGAGGCATAGGCGGATCTCCCCTCCGATCGGAAATTTTCATCTTCAAGCTACTTCCTTTAGACGTTAGTGGAGGTAGGCGAAGGCGGGCGGGGAGATCTGATGCCAGTACCAGGGACCGCGTCCGGTATACGAGACCGTACCAGTTTGCGGGTCCGGCAGTACCCCGGCGCGCCGGACATGACCAATAAACTCAAGCCGGTAGCCGTTCCGCCGAAACATCCCAGCCTCGACCGCATGCCTGCGTTCCGACGACCCTCCCACGTATCAACCTAGGAACGTAAGCCTCCGGCCGGCCTGCCGGTGCGTAGCGAGACCTCGTACAAGACGGCCCACTCTGCCTTGCGCGGTCTCATTCCGCGGCAGCGACAATTTAGGATCAACAGCAAAGCTGTGTTCATTTCCAATCTTGTCAGTTTCACTCCGTCTCCTCCTGCGATCGAGAAGCACCGATCCGGGAATTGTTTATTTTGAAAGTGCTGTTTAGATGGCGCCTTGGCACGACCAATGGGCGGTTATAATGGCCTCACTCCCTTGTGAATTCAAGAGCTTTCATTGAAACTGAGAACTCCTCGCTAACCGTAGTAAATAGTCTTCAAAGTCCAAAGGGACGTACTATAGGTGCGAAGACGGATAAGGACTCCAAGGAACTGTGCTGAAGAGAGAAGTTCAAGGTTAATCAGTTGAATAGCTTTGCACTTGTATCTTGTTTAATCTAAATCGTGTATCTTGATTCTTAGTGGTCCTCTCTTGTGCTCCAAGAACGGGTATTGGCTAGGCGTTAGAATACCGTGTATAATTTGACGTTAGTCAACAGCCTGGTCGGGTGACCTCTCTTGTATTTGTAGTTTCACAAGCACTTCGATACATTGAACCTGCGGAATTAGTCGCGCAGAGATAAGAGATCAATGCGGCCTTCTACTTCTCTAATATTTAGTGTTTCGAATACCAGAAGTTTCCGCACATAAACGACTTGCTGGTTGTTCCCCTCTTTCGAGCCTTCTAATTGTTCAGCCATCCTTATGAGTTATATCTATTAGTAATAGTATTATAGCTGTATACTAGTTATAGTTACAGTGGATTTCATATAGCTATTCACCAATTATATAAATGTTCAAAGTCCTCTTTAATATTCTTATTACATAGCAGTACACCTGTCGTTTTAGATACAATAATGTAAGCCCAAACACAGTGCATAGGGTACAATGCGAGTGTAGTCCTTTTCTGTGGGGAATCCCTGAGTGAATCACTCAGGGCGGTTTCGCTGGTGAGTTTTTAGAGACTAGAACTTCAACTGGGTTATTCTCAACACGAACCTGTCTCCGCTAGTCCTGCGACTTACCATTGTATCACAACAATTCTGTCACAGAATTCGCGTGACAATTTCTTTCTAACGAACAAGAGACATTTGTTATAGATGTCAAAGTTAGTCAACACTGTTCTCATAATAGAACAGATTCAAGCTGTTTGGGAATGAGTATTCGCAGACGGTAGCAGAGGGCTATAGTTCTAGAGCTACTCTCAGCGTAACTAGCGAGTACTGAGTACTGAGTACTGAGTAGCGGGAGGGAAGGGGCTATACAATCGAAGAGCTGTCTGGAGCTACACTGAAACTGTGAAAGGTCTGCGTTGATAGTGATACATAACCTCATAAAGATTAGTCTTCAAAGTTTAAAGGGTTATATATCAAAGACATCTTTATTATTATACATACATAAATACACAGTCTACAGACTACCGGTACAGTACAGTGTTAGTGTTACATATGATGTCATGAATGATGTAACTAACAATGAAAAAGCTTGCTTTTCACAACACAACTTCTTCACAGTTTCATTTACTGGCCAGAAAACACAAGTTTTAAATTACGATACTATATTATACATACTTACGTGGAAAACAACACTAGCTATTCTTCAAATGGGAAAAAATATGGAATAAAATGGAATGAATGAGTTCACGTTGTGGTTTTGCCTCAAGTCGTCACCGGGTACGCAAACTCACCCGTGTCACGGCCCGGTCACCGGGCATAGAGAGCATCAAAGGTGTTTGCCTGGTTACCGTCTACCGCTGCTTGCGGATTTCTGCGGCTCCCAAAGATTCAAGATAATCATACATTTTGATAAATCATGAATGCATGATACTGACTGGATGGTTACTTTTCCCAAAGTAGGTTTTTTATTCGGCTGTGCGGCTTTTGAGTTTTGTGTGTAAATGTGTTACTCGCTGGGTGTGTAGTAGTACTAATACTAGTATAGTAATAGTAGTACTAATACTAGTATAGTAATAGGTCTAAAGACTAAAGTAAACAGTAACATGTCATTATGCATATCATTATGACTAGGCACTGTAACTGTAAGCCCTATGACTATCAGTTTTTATTACGAAAGTCTGGCACAAAGTATATGCCATATATGGCTACCTCTTTAAAATTGTTTCTTAGAATTAGAACCATATTCCATGGTATCGTTTATAACTTCTAAGATCAGCAGAAGCGATTGATTCCCTAGGATTTCGGCGTCGCGTCGTCATGCGCCACTTGTTTTGTCATCATTTGCGGGAAATTCGCACCACACTGTGATTTCTTTTTCATTTACCATCATTTCAATATCCGAGGGCGCGAGTACTAAGTGGAGCTAGAGCCTAGATGCCCAATATCAGGAGCTAATAATAGTAATAGTAATAATGAAAAATTTGTCATTATTGGCTCCTGCCAATATGTACAACAATGTAACCCAACCAAGCAGCCTATAGTATATGAACAAATGCAACTACACTCTCCAAAATATTATCTCACTGTCACTCCGACACTCGTTTTCACCCCTGCTCTCTTGCTCTCTTCAGGTCTCTCTCTCCCATTCGCTGTCTTTCTCTAGAATGTTCTCGTTCTTGCTTTCGCTCTCATGATCTTGCTCTGGCTCTTGATTTTCTCATCTCATCAGTGGGTAAGGCAATAAATAATATCAATAATGTGTTAATTATAATTTTTCAGCGCTTCTTGGCCGATCTCGTTTGTTATCCTAGATCATACGCCAGATCATACGCCAGACTCCATCATGCCCTATTCGTACGTTTTCCCGCCAGGAACTCGGGTGGCCATCATAACCGATCAGATGGGGCAGCGGCTTTGGCGCTTCTTAGATCCGCAGTTAAAGCCCGTCACTATAGTGCACTGTCACGCGTGCGCTCGATCAGGTAAACGCATGCACATGTCCCATTCACTGTCGTCAACAGGCAGAGAGGTGTAACCTCGTCAGTGCGCGTGTAATAACTGCACAAGTTTGTAGAATTATATAACATGCATATCTGTAAAATTTTGTATTTTCGCGCGTTTCGAGTACAACGCGGTTCCGGTTCCTGCCTTTTGTTTCAGACACGCTCCTCGATGAGTGCACGGTGAATTTCGCCGACTTCACCAACATCGTCGTCATGGTCGGCACGAACGACGTCGAGCGGTACAACGCGCAGACGATCTGCAACAACGTCGTCGAGTTGTTCGCCGCGCTGCGTCGCCGCTCGCCCGGCGCGCGCCTCGCGTGGGTCGCCATCCTGCCGCGGCCGCTCGACTTCTCCTACTACAACCGGCGCGTGTGCGACGCGAATTACTTTGCGAAGGGCGCGCTCAAGGAGATGGGCGTCCACCGCGTCAACGCCTGCAATAGCTTCCTCGTGTCACGCGACCGGCCGAAGGAGCACTACTACGAGGACGACGGCCTGCACCCGAACACAGCCGGCCTGCTGAAGCTGTCGCACTGCATCAACCAGTTCCTCTTCAACGTCTTCGACGGCGGCGAGAGCGGCGGCGGGCCGTCCGCGAGAAACGCGTTCCCGGACTCGCCGTACAGACCGATCAGCAGGGTCGTTGCAGAGCCCCGCAATGCTTGCGGGGAGCCGGCGCCGGACCCAGTGACGAAGACCACCCCGGCGACGAAGGCGACCCCGGCGACGAAGATGACCCCGGTGGCGAAGACGACCCAGGCGACAAAGATGACCCCGGCGACAAAGATGACCCCGGCGACGAAGGCGACCCCGGCGACGACGACCACAGAGGGAGCGGCGAAGCGAAGGAGCGGTGTGAAGCGCAAGTCGTGCATCGAAAGCCCGAGCCCGCCCGGCGGCGACGACGACGACGACGACACGCGCAACGCGAAACGTTGTCCCATAATACCGCTGGAGCGGGTGCGGCCGCTGACGCAGTACTCAACGCAGGATCCTGTCGTTTGGATCGACACCGGCAAGCCACGGCGCGGGCAATGCTGCAGCGGCCCTATGGCCGGCCAGTGCGGTAACGTCATCGAGTCTGAGCGGCTCGCGATTCGTGGCGAGGCGTGTACTGCGGCGACGTGCAACCCGTCCCCTTCTCGCCTCCACCCAACACAGCTAACCAGCAAGATTCATTTATCCTCTGTTACGTGCAGCGACAGCAGCAGCAGCATCAGCAGCGGCGGCAGTCAGGGGATGAAAGCTGAGCCGGAGCACTACCATCGATCCTAGTCCCTCTTCGGCTGCTTGCGCGGCGTGATGTGCTGGTGCTAACCATCTCATGTCAGACAGAAGCCTGTGACAGTTGGAACACAGAAGCGCGTTTATGATGAAAGGTTTCATGATCGGAGCTAGTCTACATTTCATAGTCTTTCAGTTATATTTTCAATCCAACCTCCAGTTTGTTTATTAATAAAGAGAAGACACTTGTGCAGCATGCACGTATAAAGGTCGGCGTGTGAGAGGAGAGAGAAGAGAGAGAGAGCCAGAGAGCAAAAGCAGGAGAGGAGAGGGAGATAGAGGGAGGAAGATTCTATCGGCAGTACATTTTGTATATCTTTGTGTATCTTTGGATATCCATTTTGTATACATTTTTGAAAGCCAAGTTTCATACTGTGAACTAAATAACGTGATAACAAGTGACACGTGAATGTTTTTTTCCATAGTGTGTTTTCCATTCCCAAGTGTTTACCATTATAGCGAATACCAAAGTTATTTTCTTTGCCACTTATGTTGTACATATCTTAATATTAATGTCAGGTGGTATATATTTTTCACCCAATAAATTTTTAAACAAAAAAAAGTATGACCATGAAGAGATTTTCATGAAATGCATCTATTACCCAGGAATAAGCATTTTCAAAAGCATGTATAATACAAAATGTTTATTCTGTGCTGATAGGTTTATATGCCAATATAAAATAAACTGATGGGATACACTACACCTATATTTATTGTAAAGGGGGAGCCAGCTGACAATGAACAGTAGATGGGAATTTCTCAATATTGCTCTTAATTGCCATTTGACATGAGTCTTTTGATTAACTTGACATTATTTCATTTCATGATGTGTCTAAGTGTCTTGGAAACAGAATATTAACCTGTAAATATAGTAATAGTATAATAACATGTAATATACGCCTAACGCTGTATCCACATTGGATATAGTGACTCCCATAGGTGATCTAACTATATAGTCTACATAAAGTTACACATTACATACTATCAGAAGTAGAATTCCCTATTATCTACTTCTGATACTATGTGCACTTGAAATGTATCGCACAGTTTCCCGTCACTTTCTTAACGTGACTTTACAAAATATATTGATAATTGACCAGCACTGATTCTCATCTTAGAAGAACTTTAAATGTTCAGACTTTAGTTGACAAAACTTCCATGACAAGTGGTACCTATATTATTAACTTTTCTCTCAATATGAAATAATCATATTCTATGTCTGACCTTATTTGGAATTTTACCGAAAGAATTTACTTTAATTAAAGGCCATGAATGTGACTTCTTACACAAGACATGTTAATTACTGAACCTGCTCTCAGAGTGACCAGGTTGATTTGAAATATGTACAATATACAAAGTTACGAACAGGAGAGACCCCCTATAGGAGCTCCACAACACTGATGGTTATCAACGCACAATATTCTTATATCTACGATATATATATATATATGACGTTCATACAGGTGAGCTTGTTCCTAATGCAAGCCTAAACGAGAAGCAAATAAATATAGCGTTTTTTCTCCGAATGATCGCCACCTCCCCCCAACTCTCTTCCCCCCCCCCCAACACACAAGGTTGTCGCGTCTCCGGCTCCACTCGTGACGAATGTTCTTTTGTCGTTTTCCGCCCCTCAAAACTTCACTCTAGGAAATGCGCCTCCGTGCGTTAACCGCTCGAGGGGTTTCGCGCATCTAACTGCGTGACAACGGGCGACTACACACGCGGCCGAGGCACAACCCTGAGCGATCGTCACCGGTCGAGAGAGAGAGGAGTCCGACTAACGACGGGGCATCCTTTGCAGCACGGCCTTTGTGCGCAGTGGGGCGACTGCTGACATCTCGCGCCGCCATGACGCCGCGGGGGACGCGAAGGTGTGCCTCCGACGCCGACACATTGGTTTCCCCAACGTGAACGACCGTCTCTACTGTGTGAATACCACGCGGCTGGCGGCGGTGACGGTAGCGCCATCTCCCGCTCTCGCTCACTGCGACGGAGGCTGCGCTGGCGTTCCCTCACTGGTGTCGCTTTCACCTGGCTTCATCTCACATGGGGAACTCACTGAAAGCCACACGAAAACCACTCGATTTAATCGCGTGCGTCCGAAACCCGCCCTGCAGAACGTGCACGCCAGAACATTTTTTTTTAGGAAGGAGGGGTCGTTTCTTACATACGAATACGGAGGGCCGCCAGACGCCCAGCGAATGCATGGACGCCTGCAAATAAAGGACACATTGCTTGGGAAACAACATCGAGATTGAGACACTCGTTTCATAAAGTGCTAAGCTCACGCGGCATATTCATCAAGATGCTACCTACGCATGCCGACTACTGCACAACTGAACAGAATCGCCGGAAGAACCAGCATAAAATAAGCCAGGTATCAAAATTACATCGATACAATCAAACGTCGCGCGTGTAAAACATGAATAGATACAGAGCTCGTTTCATTACCATCAGCCTTGCCCGCCTGTTCTGCCGTAAGCTGCTGTGAGGGCGCCACCAGCTGGGGCGTCGCCTCTTGTTGGGATGGGGCCTGAGCCTGGGGGATCGTGTTTGGACCCGGATGCACGTTGTCGGGATGAGAGCTCTCCATGCTAGGCTGCGAGGAGGAGGAGGAGGAGGGAGGGGAAGGAGACAACATGTGCGGGGATGTGGCAGGCTGCGGCACGGGGGGCGGAGAGAACTGGTACCTTGCCTGCGGGGGAACAGGCTGAGACTGGGGTGGAGCCCACGGCTGTGCCCCACCCAGCGGGGGTTGCGCCGAACCGTATTCAGGGAAGGGCATGGGAGCAGCGTGTGGCGGGAGAGACGACTGCTGAGAGGATGCACCTGGTGGCAGTTGGGGTGTTCTCACCAGCGAAGGTGGTTTGGATCCAGGATGGAACTGCTGTCCAGGCAGATTTGCCATCAGTGGAGTTTGTCCAGTAGGTTGGTATTGGCTTGTGGGTGGGCCTTGGCCAGAGGGCTGGTACAGTTGGCTCGTGGGTAGGGCTTGTCCATGGGGTGGGTACTGTTGGCTTGTGGGTGGGCCTTGACCAGGAGGCTGGAAGTGTTGGCTACTGGGTGGGGCCTGCCCAGGGGGCTGGAAGTGTTGGCTTGTGGGAGGAACTTGGCCAGGAGGTTGGAACTGCTGTCTTGTGGGCAGGGATTGTCCAGGTGGCTGGAATTGTTGACTTGTGGATAGGGCTTGTCCAGATGGCTGGTAGTGTTGGCTAGTGGGTGGGGCCTGTCCAGGAGGCTGGAAGTGTTGGCTTGTGGTAGGAACTTGGCCAGGGGGTTGGAACTGCTGTCTTGTGGGCAGGGCTTGTCCAGGGGGTGGGTACTGTTGACCTGTGGGTGGGCCTTGACCAGAAGGCTGGAAGTGTTGGCTAGTGGGTGGGGCCTGTCCAGGAGGCTGGTAGTGTTGGCTAGTTGGTGGGGCTTGTCCAGGAGGCTGGTAGTGTTGGCTAGTTGGTGGGGCTTGTCCAGGAGACTGGCACTGTTGGCTAGTGGGTGGGGAGGGGGCAGAAGGCGGGAACTGTTGGCTAGCTGGTGGAGCTTGCACAGGGGGCGGGAACTGTTGCGCTGCGTGCGGAGGTTGGCCGGACGATGATACTGCTGGATGGTGCTGCTGGCCGGGATGCTGCTGAGTTGGCGGCGGCGGCACGGCAGGAGGCTGGGGCTGGTACTGATGACTCGCGCTCGGCGGCGGCTGCTGCGATGCGGGCGTGGGCGGGAGCGGCTGCGATGTGGGCGGGGGCTTCACGCTGGGCTGCAGCTGCTGGCTCACCGGCGGCGGCGGCACTTCGCTCGTTGTCGTCGTCGGCGTGACGACGGGCGGCGACCGAGCCGGCGGCTGCGACGCGGGAGCGGGAGGGGCGGACGGCAGGGGCTGGACACACGGCTCCGGGCCCGCGGACGGCGGCGCGGCGCCTGTAGGATGCGGCTCGGGCAGACAGGAAGGCGGGGCAGTCTGCTTCAGGGGTGGCGGAGGCGTGGTGACGCTGGGGGGAGGGGTTCCAGGCCCAGGGGCAGGTTCACCCCGCATTGCCGCTACTAGTGCAGGGTTCTGCGCTGCCACGGATGTCAGGCAAGCTGCCAAGGAACAAAAGCGAAACAAAAAATTAACGATCAAACGATAGAAAAAAACGACGAGGCTCTCGGCAAACTATAACAAAAATAATCGGGGGGCGGACGTCTGCCAGCATCAGCGGACGCCACGCACACACGTCCGTTCGCTGCGCTCCGCACCCCATCTCTCCGTCGCCGTGCGCAACGCCGTCTGCTTGCAGTTACAGTCGTCGCGGACAACGGAGCAGCACTCCGGTCCGGCGGACGTGACGCCGCAGACTCCAGGGGGCGCTCGAGTGCAGGTCCGCCACGATAGGGGCGAGGTCGGACGGGTGCGGCGTCGTCCCGGGGAGACGAAAGCATGCGGCGCGCGTGGTCACACATCACAAGCAAACTGCCTGCATGCACATTCATGCTAAGCCAAACCCACCCCCCTGCGATCATGCCACCTGCGGTTGACGATGATTGTGGTTAAATTAATGGACGTGGACGTGGGGGGATGGGGTTAAAATATTGGTGGCTTTAAACCCACACACCGATCATGCCACCTGCCGTTGATGATTATAATTAAACTAACAGATGTGGCGTGAGGGGGCAAAATCGTCGGTGTGTTCTGGAAACCTAAATTGACCCGACTTGAAATTGTTACTGCTGTTGCTGCTGCTGTTACTTCTGCTGCTGCTGCAGCTGCTGCTGCTGCTGTTGCTGCTGCAGCTGCTGCTGCCACTACTACAGTTACTTCTGCTACTGCTACTGCTGCTGTAGCTGCACAAGAGTCGGTGAAGAACGTAATGTCAGATGCCGCGCTTGCCGCAGTTCAATGCGGCTCACTGCGGCGTGCTTACCTGGTTCTAGTGCGGTTGAAGCTGCCGCGGGCTGCGACGCCTGCACCTGCGGCTGTGGTGAGGACTGCTGAAACAACAAACGGAAGTGACCAACTGACCGGTGAAACGCACTCACAGAAACTGCCCTCAGTGGAGACCTCCCCCCAAGTGCAAATATATGATCGAAACGGGAACACGCTTTCACCTTTTGAAGTGACCTTGTCGTTTTTAGATCCGCTCACAAAACAGAAAACAAAAGCCAACGAAACCAATGCTGGTTAAATACCGTGTAGTTCGTAGCAGATTTGACTCGATGCCAAAGAATGGCGGCTATTGATACCTGTGGTGCGGGAGATGGCTGTTGCTGTAGGGGCTGGGTGCCTGATTGAGGCATGGGAGAGCTGCCAGGCGGCGTCTCTTTCTGCTGTGGCTGCTGTTGCACCTGCGAAGCACAGCAGAGAAAGTTAGAGCAGACAACAGTGCTGCGAAATCGGTTGCCACAAATATTAACTACACAAATACTACTCTTAACGTTAACTTCTTCTCATAGACTGTTGAGAGAAACTTGGTAAAGTTTTCCGTTTATCAAACGCAGTAAATAGAGGTTTGGTCTACGAGAAAAAGTCAAGGTAAAACTAATGTGACGACAAATTTTGTTTCTGACTACAGGCCCCAGTGTGTCAACAATAAACAAACAGCATGCTACATGCTCTCCCGAATCCCTAGCAGCAAACACGACCAAACTGAGCACCTACCTAGCAGCAAATATAAGCACACTGAGCACCTACCTAGCAGCAAATATGAGCACACTGAGCACCTACCTGTGGTGCCGGCATTTGTCCGGATGCGATGGCCTGGGCCTGCGCTTGCTGCCTGGCCTTGAACTCCGCGGCTCGTATCTGCTCCAAGTGGAACGCTTGCCTGTCCTGCAGCAGCTGCTGCCGCTGATACTCCAGCTGAACATGAAGACAACACAAGGTTGAGGTGTACCAAGCCTACGTTAGTGTGGAACTGTGTTGCACCCGTTAGTGTAAGTTGTATTGTAAACACATTAGGATAAACAAGGTGTACCATCTCAACAGTCGCGATCCTGGTCCATGAGCCTGGTCCATGAGCGCACACATCTAACTTTCACACACCGACTACAGCTATCGTTCACTCGCTGGCTCACACTGACTTTGACTCACTGCCTTACATTAATGTTCACTCACCGACTCATGCTAACATTGACTCACCGCCTCACACTAACGTTAACTCACCGCCTCACACTAACATTGACTCACCGCCTCACACTAACGTTAACTCACCGCCTCACACTAACGTTAACTCACCGCCTCACACTAACATTAACTCACCGACTCGCGCTCCTGGTCCATGATGGCCTCCAGTTCCTCGAAGTGTCTCAGCTTGATCTCCAGCTTCTTCATCTGCGTCTCGACAAGAAGCGCGACGAGACTCTTGATCTTACGCTCCTCGACGGCGGCGAGATGCTGCGGGCGAGACGCGAGAGTCGTTAGCGGCCGAGACGCGAGAGTCGTTAGCGGCCGAGACGCGAGAGTCGTTAGCGGCCGAGACGCGAGACCGTCGTTAGCGGCCGAGACGCGAGACCGTCGTTAGCGGCCGAGACGCGAGAGTCGTTAGCGGTCGAGACGCAAGACCGTCGTTAGCAGCTGAGACACAAGACCGTCGTTAGCGGCCGAGACGCAACACACGCGTTAGTGGCAGACGCGAGACCGTCGTTAGCGGCCGAGACGCAACACACGCGTTAGCGGCCGAGACGCGAGACCGTCGTTAGCGGCCGAGACGGGAGACACGCGTTAGCGGTTGAGACGCGAGACCATTGTTAGCGGTTGAGACGCGAGACCATTGTTAGCGGTCGAGACGCGATACCGTCGTTAGCGGCCGAGACGCGATACCGTCGTTAGCGGCAGAGACGCATGACACACGCGAGACGTAAAACCACTATTAGGAACAGGGATGCGAGACACAAGACTCACGTCAGATGCGAGACACACTCGAAATACGACACCAGCGTTATTGGTGTCGCAACGACTCACGCGAGAGACACAAGGTCACTGCAAGCGGCGGGGCTGCAAGATGTTAGCCTCGCACCGGATGCGAGACTGGCTTGAGACGAGATACACGTTAATGGCTGGATGGCTGGAGTGCGAGACACGAGGCTAAAGCCCGGCGCGCACGTGAGTTATTTTACTCAAGTAAAATGACGCACGAGTCATTTTACTCACGTGTGCGGCGGATTTTCGTTGAGTAATTTGACTCATGCGTCATTTTACTCACGTGTGCGGCGGATTTTCGTTGAGTAATTTGACTCATGCGTCATTTTACTTGAGTAAAATAACTCACGTGTGCGCCGGGCTTTACTTGAGAAACGAGACCCGCATTAATGGGGGGCGAGGTCCGACCTGATACTCGAGTCTCAAGTTAGTGGTGCCACCGCGAGACGACAGTTTACCCGTGCAGAGATGCCAACACATATTTGAAGCAATCTGTCGTTTCTGGCCATCAAATTAGTAGTTCGAGGGCCACGTAGTGACCCAAGTTTGCTAGGGGGGTCTGGCATGCCCCCCGCAAAATTTTTTGATTCTGAGATGCAATTTCCTGCATTCTGGGGGTAAAAAATGACAATAAATTGACAAAAAATGACAATAATTTAAAAAAAAATTTTTTTTTTGATCACAGTAAAATTCGTAGTTTGATACAAACTGGTCGTAGTGGTGCAAAAGGAATAGAAATTCGTATAAAATACGGATAAATCGTAGTGGTTGGCATCTCTGCCCGTGCCTCAAATTTTGCATTGCTCGGCAGGAATTTGCAGGACAACACAGGTGGTCATCATCCACCACAAGTGTGGATGTTGGCAATGTCTACTCCCGACGATGTTTATCGACAAAGTTACGTAAACAAGAGCACGTACCTTGGCCTTAACGGCAGCCGTGGCGAGGGCAGCCGACGACGCCACCTGCAGCTCCTTCTCGTTAATCAACGCGTCTCGCGTCGCCACCGTCTTCATCTTGTTCGCAGCGTCTTCTTCTGCCGGCACCTGGTCCTTGCTAGCTTCCTCTCCGTCCTTCTCCGCCGCAGCTGCCGCAGGAGGAGGTGCTGATGTTGCCTCCTCTTCCGGCTTCTCCGCCTCGGCTTCCTTCTTGATGTCGGGCGCCGGCTCTGCCTCCATAGGTTCCTCTCCATCCTTACTGGTAGCTTCCTCTTTGTCTGCCTTGGCTTCTGTGTCCTCTGCCTTCGCAGACTTGTCGCCTTTGGCTTCACCTTCTTTTGCAGGTGCACCCGTCTCCATGGACTCTGCAAGTTAACGCCGGTTTTTACGGTTAATGGACATGAAACATTTTGAAATTCGATGCAACAGGACGTTCGTTTTTAGGTTTCTAGATTTGATGAACGTGGAACATTTTTAGTGCCGACTGACCTGTCTCCTCTTTGCCTGTACCAGCTATGCCGCTGTCTTCAAGGCCAAAGCTGGCATCCACCGTGCCTGTCTTGCTGGCCTGTTCTTTAACTCTGTTCATGTGCTGCTCTATCATTGTGTAGGAAACCTCATCCTTTAGCTTGTTAAACTCCTCTGCAAGAATCAAATCACCAGCATCACAACAAAATTCAAGAAAACCGAATATTAGGCGACATAAATTAGGCACATTGACCCTAAAACGATAGGAACTACCAAATACACAGATACCAAGCACTTCAATGAAGATATTCCCATAGCATTAGTAAGATTAAGTTCAAAATCTAAATGCATAACTTGTTACTATTAATTCAACAACTACACCAACCACGCAGGGAAATAATATGGATATCGATTCTACCTAGTTCTAGTTACAATTCTAGAGGTTGTGAGCTAGTGTTGCGTCACTCACCCATGGCTGTTTTTGTGGCTGCTCCTGCAACGCGTGGATCCACTATGCTCGCGAGGAAAGCCACGGTTGACATGACAGGGTTGCCATGCTGAGAGAATGGTATCGGCTGCTGCGACACCGCTCCGCCTAAAACAGACAGTTATCATCACGTTCTCCTCAGTGAAACTTGGACGAAATGCGCACACACACCAGTGGAAAAAATACACGGGGGCTCGGGGCGACTTAGCCCCCGAAATGCCAAAAAGATCCCCCGTAAATTTGCATAGAGTTCAATGCAACCAAATTTCAGAGTGCTATTTTCATGCACGCGAGCTTGAAAAGTAGCCCACGAAAAATAAATTTTAATTTTTTCCCTGACACACACGCATATCCCCGAACCCCGCATTAACATTACTAATCGAAACCCCCGAATGATGTAACCCGTTACTAATATATACCACGAAACCCCCCTATTGTCACTTCCCGCTCACCAGGTACTAATCTATACCCACGAACACACCATGCGCACTCGCACGTTGCTCACCTATACTGGCGCACACACCACACCCGCTCTCCCATTACTAATCTATACCCCACCCCCCATATCTCACGCCCGGTCGCATGTTGCTCACCTATACTGGCGCACACCCCACACTCGCTTGCACATTACTAATCCATACCCGTGCACCCCCCACACCCACTCACCCGATATTAATTTATACCCCCCCAACACCCATTCGTATATTGCTTACCTATCTACTCGCTGACGTTCTCGATGTACTAATCTGTGCCCCACCCCCATCTCACACACGCTAACCTGGTACCTGGTACTACTACTAATCTTTACTCCCCTCCAACACCCATTCGTATATTGCTCACCTATGGACTCGCTGACGTTCTCGATGTACGGGTCCTCGATGGGCAGCTGCAGGAACTGGAGGATGCACTCGTCCTGCGTGCGCGTGCCGACGTGCTCGCTCACCTTGTTCCAGTCGTCCTTGAACATCTCGAGGCCCTCGAGCAGCATGAGCGTCTCCTGGTCCGTCCAGTCGCGCGAGAACTTGCTCGGCCGTCCCTGAACGACGGCAAACAGTGTTCAGAACTCTTGCAAACAACAGCGACAGTGTGTTCAGAACACTTGCGAACAACAGCGACAGTGTGTTCAGAACTAGTGTCTACGACGGATTGGTAGGGTCGGCCGGTAGCGCACATGATATTGTGGCTTTGGGGGGGGGGGGCTAAGACCGTCGATGGTACAACAGAACGCAGGACATTGGGAGAATGCGCGATGGCGATGGTTCGAAGGCATCGAAGGCGAAAGAGCGCTTTTGAAATTGTGCGTGGAAAGAGTCAAGTCTAGTTTCTACCACGCGGCATGCCAATCAAGGAGAACTGCACCGTAAGGGAAACGTGTTTACGTATAGGAAAACGTGCCACAACTTAATCGTCTCCGCTCTATGCAGAATCACGAGAGAATACCAAGTGGCAGATGGGTCGCCGTAAACCTTTGTGGTTTCATTATGCGACCTTGCTGCCACGGCTGCCTTCACACGCGCCACAGTGACTTCTGTTACGCGTCATCGCACTGACCTTCAGCTCGGTAAACTGCTTCACATACTGATCCTCCCGGAGGTTGAGGTTCGGGGCGAGCGGCGCCCCGTCCTTGCCGGCAGGCGGCGACATCGGACCGGTGAGAGCGCCATCTGCTGGACCGGCGGCGGCCGTCGTCGGCGGGACCTCGCCCTCCCGCGGTTGGACGGGCGGTTCCAGGATTTCCGCCTTCAGTTCCGGGACGGGGACCTGCACGGCTGCCGACGGCTGGAATCGACACCGAGCAACTGCGTTACGCGACGAGGCTTCTCGCAGACTAGTCAACGTCACATCCAATCCCAAACCCAGGGGTCGAAATTAGATTTTAATTATGGTATCCATTCGGGATACCAGGTATTGAAATCTGGTATCCCCCCAAAGATCTGGTATTCCATTTTTGGGATGGTAATTTCAACAATGTTGGTATCCAAAATCTTGAAATATGCAATAATAGCATTTGAAAATTATTAATATGTAATGTAATTATTATATAAAAACATACTATCCCGAGTTTGAAGATTTTTTTTTTTACTATTCCGATGGGATACCAAGCATTGAAATCTGGTATCCAACACAAGAATCTACTATCCAGCGGATATCGGGATACCGCTAATTTCGACCCCTGCAACCCCATCCACGACATCCGCAGCCACTTGGACACGACTACCCACCCCCTACTCAACGCTCACGCTCGACAAAAAAAGAAAAAAAGAAGTGGAAACTGCTCTGGCTTTCAACATAAAAATCAAATAAATAAATCAAGATCGATAATTTCCAAATATTTCGAAAAGCCCACAATATCTGCGGCTGCTTGCTGATACCATGCAATCCCACGACGACTCAACAACGCTCACGCTCGAACGAACAACGATTCCGGCTTCCGAGAAAAAATTAACCGATCAGAATTACCGGACCACGCGACGAGGGTGGAGACGTGACTCACCTGGGTCACGCCCTTCGGCTGCAGTGGCTGGATACCGGATGGTGTGTCGCCCAGCACGCAGAAGTGTGAGGTGGGAGGTGGGCCCATCGGAGCGGGTCGGCATTCAGCGTCCACCTGCAGGGTTCATAGTAGTAAGACACATGTTGAAATAAGGACTTATAAGACCCTTTCTGGAGGCCAAAATAAGACTTTTTTACGCGATTTCTGATAGATCACCGACTATTAAAGTACACTAATAATATATATACACAATTGCCCAGCAGATTTAATTATTCTGTATTATATATACAACAATTCTTACTCTAAGTCGAGAACAGTTTATAAAACTGGCAAAAAATAAGGACTATTAAGTACTTTTCTAAGATTTCACCAAAAATAAGTACTAATAAGGGCCCTTATTTTATTTTTGGCAAAATAAGTACTTATAAGACTTTGGAAGACGCGCTACAAACCCTGACCTGGTAGTTGATGAGTCCCCACTGCTCGAGAAACGCGTGCACCCTGCAAGAAATTCGAAAAAATATGGTTGCTGAATTCGTAAACGGAGTCCGCGGATTCGCAAACAAAGCTCGCGAGTGCTACGACAGCATCTTCACCCGGTTAAGTTTTAATATTCCGACACGATGGGATTCTCGCGCCGTCGGCGCTTCTCTCTTGTGAACAAGTGAACGTATAATCTCTCTCACCGCATGATGGCGCACACGTCTCCTGCGAGGTTTCTACGACATGCTGTGCTGGTCAGATACTCCAGCGGGTTCAAACGATACGTGTCGATAACAAAGTTCCTGTACGCCAAATAACTGCAAGAGAACACATCCATGATTTACATTTGCATTTCCAAATCATTTCTTAATTACTGTATACGCCATATTTTTGCGAATTCAGACTCGACGGACAATTTGACGAGTGGTTAATTTCGTGGTCGGTGAATTATGAATTATTCGGTATTAATTATTCGCGTGTTGTTATTTTCGCGGTTGGGGACGCGTTCGCGAAATTCACAAAAATTAAACCACTGCGAAATATACAGCATATATTTTAATGCTAAGAGTCCTTATTTCAAACTTATTCAACACACTACCTTATCGTTATATACCCACAAACTGATCTCGGATGACGAACGGAACATTAAACATGTTAAACCGCCACAAGCAGTCCAGAACGTGTGAATGTGTATGATTGTGTCGTAGGATGTACTTACATCTCTGGAGTCTTTGATCTATTCTTGGAGTTGAAAAACTCGGGCAACGCTCTTCTCTCTATCGCATGAATGCTGCAATGATGCAAAACGTGCGGAAACATCAACACCCAGCGTCAAAAACAAAACATACAACACCACCAAAACAACAATCGTCAAGCAGACGTAAATTAAATGCTTTATCACTAAGTACAACCCTTCATATTTGATGCCAAAATTAATAACACAGCCAGACTGATGATAAATATACTCTCAATGAGTAGAATCCTTCACATTTGCTGGCAAATATTCATCAATTATAAATTCATGTGTTCTAACCGCAAAAAAATTCTTCCCTCTCTTCGAAGACCCAGCATGGCGCGCCTATTACGGTCTATTACGGGTTACCTGTTACTTACGGTTTACCTGTTATGGTCAAAACACAAAAAAACTCCTCTCCCTCTTCGAAGACCCCCCAGTTAACCTGTTGTAGTCAAACCGCGAAAAAATCCTTCGCCCTCTTCCAAGGCCATACTGACATGACTGAAGAGGAAAAAATTCGCTCTTCGAAGGCCCTACTGAAGAGGAAAAGATTCGCTCTTCGAATGCCCCCCAGTTAACCTGTTGTAGTCGAACCAGGAAAAAATTTCTTCTCCCTCTTCCAAGGCCATACTGACATGACTGAAGAGGAAAAAATTCGCTCTTCGAAGGCCCTACTGAAGAGGAATAAAATTCCACTTCGAATACCCCTCAGCTCACCTGTTGTAGTCGAACCAGGCTGCGTAGCTGGGGATGATGATGTGGTGTATCTGCTCGGTGACGTGCTCGGCGAGCCCGCCCTTCTCCGGCTCCTCCGTCGGCTGCCCCGCCGGCGACGACGGGCGCGACCCCTTCTGCTCTCCCTTCGCGTCGCCCGAGCCGTCCTTGTCTCCGTTCGCCGCCCCCGCCGGCTGCTTCGACGGCTGCGCCTCGCCCTTCGGAACTGAAAGCGAGGAGAAGCGATCCGGGGTTGGGCGTCGAGCGAGCGTTCACGTTCCCGTGGCTTCCCTCCCGTGGCTTCCCTCCCGTGGCTGCACGCATTGCTAAATTCGGGGGTTAGGCGTCGGGCGAGTGTTTATACCCCTGCGGCTTCTCCCTCTTTTGCAGGAGCTACCATCTCCGCGGTCGCCGCGAGCCGAAACGTCTCCCGGCGGATACGAGGTACGAGTGACAAAGAATGCGTTGCTAAGTTCGGGGGGCCGTTACGACTGGCGGCTTCACCTTCTTTCGCACGAGCGTTCGTCTCTGCGCTCGCCGCCCAGTGAAATGTCTTCCAGCAGATGCGAGGTACGGCCGATAAAGGACGCGTTGCAAAGTTGAACCACGAGCGAGAAAAATTCGAACACGAGGAAACATTTGCCCACGAGCCAGACGACGTATGCGAGTATTTATACTGTATTAATTATATTTATATTTTTAAAATGTTTCTATACTTTTATTATTTGTACTGTATTTCGCGGACCCAACGAGCAACTGCCAACATAACGACGAGTAAATTCGGCAAGACTCGATTACTCACGAGATTTGCTCAGAGGAATGGTAACCTCGTGCACGCTGGGCACCGAGGCAGGGCTCTCTTTCTCCTCGCCGGCCTCCTCTTCTTCCTCCTCCTCCTCTTCTTCCTTCTGCAGCCGCTTGCTGCATATAGATGGAGCCCTAGCAGTGCTGATGAGCACACAAACGGTGTTAGTACAACGTAGTGAAGCGTTAGAAAAACTGGATTGCTAAGAGCTTACAAACTTCGAAATCAGTTCAAACGTAAGGCGCTGTGCATCAAGGCACCTACCTCTTGCGTTTACCACGTTTGTCGACCGGCGGAGATGGCGATCGCTTTCTCTTGCCCTTGTTCTTTCGCTTGTCCTCTGTAGCTGGTTTGATCTACACGCAACAAAATCAACAATGTTGGTATCCAAAATCTTGAAATATGCAATAATAGCATTTGAAAATTATTAATATGTAATGTAATTATTATATAAAAACATGAAAACAGATTCACAGATATGCACAGAGCCACAAACAAGTACACTGTAGACGTATTGTCTAGACGCATTGTCTGGTTCGCTTGATACGATCAAGAGCGTATAAAGAAGCAGAGCGTACAACGGTGAAATGCTGAAACCATGTTGCAGTATTAGTCGAATTAATAAACTTTCCCCGTTTTATTTTGACGACTTTGCAGTATTATTGATCAGCTGTCCTACCTTATTAATATAAAACAAACCGCATGTCCCTACAATGCCCCTACGCTGAGATAATGAGCGGTGAAAATCTGGTATTTTCGCCGAAAACCGACTCGAGATACCTGCTGACTGCGACTATCTCTCGCTTTGTGGCCAGTGTGTTGCTTCCGGTCGCAGTGGAGACATGTGCCAAATTCGAGACCCGGCACACAAACAAAACCTCGCGACACTCTAAGAAATCGATTGCGGCATGTAGCGTAGCCCAGTGTTTTTATGCATGAATATATTGACTGCATAATAATAACTAGAAACGAGCAGTTGTCGCCAACTACATGTATCCCCCGTGATCTAGTAAGAATAGAAAATCTCTGTAAGGACGTAGAAGGCAGGTAAAGTTAAATAAGTCACAAAGACAAAGGTTTGTTAGACAACTGGTGTGCCTCAGATGTGCAAGTATATGGATTATGGAATCTGGTTACCCTAGGAGGCCGAAGAGGAAATGTAAGTCGACTGTGAAGGTCAAACTAAGGTCAAGGGCAGTGGTGGTTTTGGTATGCGACAGACCTTCTCCCCAAGATGTGTAAGCATACCAAGTTTGGTCATGCTAGGTCAATTAGGGGCTGAGTTAGAGAGCGGAAAGAAATATGATCAAGGTCAAGGTAAAGGTGAAATAAAGGTCGAAGTGACCTGGTCCACTGGCAGTTTTTACCCGATCTCGGATCATCTTCAAATTTGGCATGAAGGTGCGTTATGGTAAAGCGAAGACGCCAACCGTTTTTGGTGTGGGCGGAGTCATTGTTGCCATGGTAACAACATTTTTGT